GGGACTCCTGGAGGATACTGCCTCTAGCACAGAACCGCTATTTTCACCCCTTACGTCCCAGATGTTTCCCCCATATAACGCTACCTTCATTTGTTTTACCAATTCGATTTATCCAACCAGAACATTCTTATATTACCAATGCACTATTTTCACCTACACATGGGTATTCTCCAAAATCATTAAAAATCAATAATTATCAATTTCAGAACAGGCCTTCAAGGTCACTTTGTCCAAACTTTCAAACTCAGGAAATCTCCACATAGATTCATATTATCATTTTCCACTGTCCAAATTACATATTTCATAAGTGGCAACTCAAATATTTAAAAACCACTTTCAAGGTAGAAAGTTGCAGAGTCCAAATTCTACTTCAATTTTTGGTGGGCTAGCAACAGGCAGAGGGCAGCGTAACCCTGTATTTATATAAACTGAAGGAGAAATTTAATAGCAATGGAATAGCATTTTGGTTTAGATCTCATTTTAACGTTAATCAAGTACAGCAATTATAACAATCTATAAGCCAATACCTTAATTACAATCTTTTCAATGAGCTGATCTACTATTCTAATGAACTTCTGAGTTATATATTTAAAAGAGCTACCAAAGATTACAGATACTGATTTACCTTCAAAAACAAAAATAAATAACTACCTTAAAAAAAAAAGTAAGGAGAACTGACTTTACATTTTTCTAACACTAAAGTAAGTCAAAATAAAATTATTCATTTCTATATAATTGATCCCTGTCCAAATAAGCACATAGATGAAAAAAATCTATAATCAAAACAGCANAAGAACAAAAGGACAGCAACTTGTCTGTTCACCTTCCCCCAATTCCCTAGCGCTGTTCCCATACCCCAATTCCCCAATTTAAGAAAAAAAAAAAAAAACTGCAGAAGACCAGAGGCATGTAAAAGATCTTAAAAGCAACCAGAAAAAAAATACATAAAGAAATCATAATTTAACTGATAGCAGACTACTGAACAATGACAGAAGGTGAACAGGGACAAAGCAGTAGCCACAAAGTGCTAAGGAAAAACAGCAGCCAACCTATAATTCCATACCCAGCTATGCTATCATTCAAGAGTAAGGGAAAATCAAGACATTTTCAAACACATACACCTAGTCACAGGTTGTCATTGAAAATATTAAAAAACTTATTTCAGTAAAAAGCAGACTGAACCTGAATATTTATCAATAAAGGAATTATATTCAAACTAAAGAGCAGTTAAGATAAATGAACTAGGTAGATCTCAAATCCTATTAAAGGAAAGGAATAGGCAGCAAAAACCTATGTACAGTATGAAGTCATCTTTTTTTAAAAGACAAAACAATAATAGATATTATTTGTAAAGACATGAATATATAGTAAAAATGCATAAAACAATGGATGGGAAGGGTAAACACCAACTTTATAAAAGTGGCTATCGCTGTGTAATATTTTTTATTTCTCTGAACAAAAAAGGATCATAAGTAAAATGGCAAAATGTAAACATTTGTTATATATAGACAGTAGTTACAACAGTATTAAATACAAGAGGACAATTTCAAGAGTACATAGGAACATGTGTATTTTTCAATATTGTCCAATGTACAATGTTCTTTTCAATATTGAAACAGTTAATATTCGATGTACTACTCTAGGATGAAATATTTTATAACTTAAAAACACAAAAATTTGTTTCTAAAGAAAAAGAAAAATATTACTAAATATACCTGAAACTACAAAATTTAAGCCATAATAATCTAAACTTTTTCCTGATCATAGAAATCACTTTGGAATACCTGGTAGAAGTCAACTTTTACTTACAATTTTTCGATCATTAAATAACACAACGTAAATGTAATTCTTAATAAAACTTTTTTTTT